TTGAATGAAATTGAATTTAAAAAGTTAAAGAAAACATTAGAAGATATTATTCCTTTAGTCCGATTTCAAGATATCTCTACTGAGGATTTTTGTTATAAAATTATGCCATATCAGAAGCTTTTTCCTGAGTTATTCTGGAATAACCTTTTACACAATTATTTAATTCCTCATAAAAAATCAACCTTATTACCATCAAGAAATCAAATAATTGACTCAACAACAATAATTAAAGAAAAAAAAGTTACTTTGCTTTTTGCAAGTTGGATTGATAGGAAGAATCCTCCGTATAATTCATTAAGAGAAGTTAAATACAAATTTAAGCTTTTATATCGTATCAGCAGAGATGGTTTAAGTGCAGCTACTTTTCATCAAAAATGCGATAATATTAACAAAACTCTTGTAGTTAGTAAAATACAAAATTCTGAGCAAATTGTTGGTGGATATAACCCATTTGATTGGAGTGGAAATGGTTTATATAAAAATACAATTGATAGTTTTATATTTAATATAAGTAATAGAAATGATATCAGTGCTGCACAGTTTAGTTATACTTTTCAGAACCAACAAAATGCAATCTATTGTGATCTAAATTACTTTCCTACTTTTGGTAGTGGTCATGATTTGTATTTTGATACAAATAAGACTATTAGTGGTACACCAAATACTTACAATAACATCAATATAGTAACTGGCAGTGTGTTTGATGAATTGGAAGTTTTTCAAATAATTAATAAAAATTAATACAATCATGAATCAAATTTTTTTATCAGAATTGGAGAAGATTGTTATTGTTATTTATTCACTTCATTAAATATCTTTTAGGAGTTAATATATAAATAAAAAGTTAAATTTGTTTTTATACACTAGTAGATAATTTATCATTGTTTTTTCTTCTATTGTTATGATTTTAATATACACAACTTCTTCACTTTCAATGATGATAACTTTTTTATTTTTCTTTTCAGATTTCTTAATAATTTTCAAAATAAATTTTTTTAAAGCAATTTTACCGGATCTTCATCTGGGTCAATACTATCTTTATTTTAATAAACCCCCATAAACTTTAAATCATTAATTCAATAGTTGACTTTTTTTTCTTGATATCCTGGTTAATTAATTTGTATTTCCTTAATTGTTTTTTCATTATATAAACTTTACAAATAATTTTTACTTTCTGCGATTCTAATTTCAATAATTCATATTTTTTTTTATTGCAACCTGATTTCTTGCTATATATTGTCCCTCAGATATGTTTATACCATATAATCGATTGGGGTCAGGGTCACTATTTTGGAAAGAGAAGAAAGATAATTTTAAAGAATTAAAGAATATATTGTTCCTTTAATTAGGGTTTGAAATATTTTTAACGTAACTAAAATTATGCTTTATCAAATGTTATTTATTGGGGGATTTGTATAGAGGTGTTATTCGATTCCTGATAAATAATCAATTTCAAATTTATTGCCATTCAAGAAATCTAATTATTGAATCAACAACAATCAATCAAAAGCTTGTATTGTTTTTGCAAGTTAGATTGATAGAAAATCCCCAACATATATTTCACTCAGAGAAGTAATAGGAATTATACTAATGCTGCTCTATTTATTAACTCTTTTGATTATGGTTGTGACATTAGTATTTGTTTGGTAAAAATGGTTTCCGTTAACTTGTGGGTAAATTTAATGAATTAGAAAAAATATTAATTTTTTACAATGAATTTTTTTTACATGGTGTTTTAGATCACTTCAAACAATCAAAAATTGGCAGATTTATCTAAGAAACTTTTACCTTCAATTGGAAAATGTCATGAAGCAATCAAAATAATCATTTAATAAAAAGTTGCTTTTTAGATAAGCGAGCATTTATAAGATTTCTCGCATGCATGTGACACAAATATATTTTTTTCCAAAATGTCATTATCTTTAGAAAATATCACAACTATTAGCAATTTTAACAATGATCTACCATTAAAATATATAAGTAAACTTATAAACGATTTAACAAACATGCTGAGTAAATCTGATTCTTATGATATGGAGATTAAAGTTGGAGTAGAGCAGGATATTAAAATTTTCAAAGCTCATTCAAGCGTTTTAAAAGCCAGATCCTCGTACTTTAAAGCTGCTTTATCGAATGAGTGGAATAAAAAATCTGAAGACGGTACTATTTTATTTGAAAAAGATAACACATCTCCTAAAGTATTCGAAGTTCTTTTAAAGTAAGATTAAATTTTTTGATTAATTAATATATTTTTTTATAATAAATATCTAAACAATTTATATACTTTTATTACTATTTTTTAAAGATATATTTATAATGGAATTCTCAACATAAATAATTTGGAACCTTATGAAATTATTGAACTTCTTAAAATATGTGATGAACTAGAGTTTAGTGAATTAATTGATGACTTACAAAATCATTTAATTGTAAAAAATCAAGGATGGACTCAACAGAATTTAAATTATATATATAATAATGTATCAAAATATCAACCATTTAGTATACTTAAAGATTACTTTGACAACAATCCAGAATTATTCCTAACATCTAAGGATTTCAAAAATATTGAAAAACCAATGTTAATGTCTTTATTGGGAAGAGATGATTTGGATATAGAGGAAATTGATATTTGGGATTATGTCGTCAAATGGGGAATTGGACAGATTGAAAATTTAGAAGAAGGAAAAAAAATTATTTTAGAGCTGAATGAAAATGATCTTAAAGAGTTAAAGAAGGTACTAGAAGATATTATTCCTTTAATTCGATTTCAAGATATCTCTAACGAGGATTTTTGTTATAAAGTTATACCATACCAGAAGGTTTTTCCCGAGTTATTCTGGAATAACCTTTTACACAATTATATAGTTCCTTATAAAAAATCGGCCTTAAATTTATTACCATCAAGAAATCAAATAATTGACTCAACAACAATAATTAAAGAAAAAAAAGTTACTTTGCTTTTTGCAAGTTGGATTGATAGGAAGAATCCTCCGTATAATTCATTCAGAGAAGTCAAATACAAATTTAAGCTTTTATATCGGAGCAGCAGAGATGGTTTAAGTGCAGCTACTTTTCATCAAAAATGCGATAATATCAACCAAACTATTGCAGTTGGCAAAATACAAAACACTGAGCAAATTGTTGGTGGATATAATCCACTTGATTGGAATGCAAATGGTTCATATAAAAATACAAATGATAGTTTTATATTTAATATAAGTAATAGAAATAATATTGGTACTGCACAGTTTAGTTATGTTATTAATAATCAACAAAATGCAGTGTATTGTCATTCAAATCACCCTCCTACTTTTGGTGGTAGTAGTCATGATTTGTATTTTAATGCAAATAAGACTATTAGTAGTTCACCAAATACTTACAATAACATCAATATAGTAAATGGTAGTGTGTGTGATGAATTGGAGGTTTTTCAAATAATTAATAAAAATTAATATAATTTTTATTTTGGAAATTTGGGAATTATTTTGTGAATCATCGTTCGTATTATTATATACAAATAAATTCAGAACACTTAATTGACTGGTAAAAATTCATAATAAAGAATTTCATTCTCATCCGTACATTTTGTATTTGCATTGTTTATATATTTATTTATTTCACCAATTTTAATTTAGTGATTTGATAATTAAGCGATTAGACGAAAATTCTAAATTTTCAAAAGCAATATTTTTCAAATCATGCAAGGTCATCCCGGTCACAATAGTTTTTAGATAGATTAATGTGACAGATAAATCCGATAATAGTATTTATTATCACAACCTATCAAGTAAAATAACAATGAAACTCAAGGTTAGACTTAACCTCCGTCATTTCAGATAATAGATATTTGTTATAAATAATGTGAATCAAAACTTTTTAATAATGAGATATTTATCTAAAAATGATTTCGCATTACATATAAAAAAATCCCTTAATATTAATATTTAAAAAGAACCACGAATCAATCAATAATATTTGATGACACCTAGTACAATAAATAACCCTTCGTTAGAATAAAATTTACCTTAATTGAATAAACTATAATAATGGTAATGGTAGAATGTTGTAATACATAAATATAGTAAATAAAAAAAATTGACACTTCACAACAAGACTTGCAATAGATACTTATAAAGCTGCCAAATATGCACATTACACAAGAAAATATTATGCGATAGATATAGATTAAAAGTAGGATCATCGATTTATATAGATAGACACAAGGAGTAGTTGATTGGGTGGAATAATGAAATATATGAAGTGATGTTCGCACAAAAGGAAAGTCGATCAATTTGTAAAAAGATTTATAATGGAAAATGAATTCGAGAAGATGTATAAATATTAATATAAATATTATTATAGGCTTTAGAAACGATCGAAGTAAGTAATAGTCAGTTATTGAGACAGGCATCTCTGTTAAACAATCGCATGAGTTTAAGGTTCGGAACAAGCAACAATGTGTGGAGAAGTTTTTAAAAATTATTACACAACTAGTGAGGCCGTTTGCAATTAAAGAATCTAAAAAAAGAAGATTTCGTCACTTCGGTCGAGAAATGAGCGGGAAAATTTAAGATAAATCTTAGTCTGGAACATTTGGCGCAGAACTTTATATTAATATAGAACAATAGCCCACATTTTGTGTGATTACTATCACGTGGCTGATTAACCATAATAATATATATGTAATGCATAATAAATAAATAATTTAAAAACTTTCATATAAAACTTATATTTCTTTGGGTTTCAAAGTTAAATAGTTAACGCCAAGTTTTTTTTTTTTTGATAAAAAAAAAAAAAATTTCTTCTGCTAGTTGTTCCTTCTTATCTCCCTAATAATCTATTTTTTTTTTTTTGACCCCCCATAATAAATACTTATTCTTTCTTTTAAATTGAGCTGGTCTCATTATTTTCTATTTTTATTCTTTTATACTTCCTTCCCTTTTTATCATCATACATCACCTTATTCAACAAAACATATAATTTAATAATTTAGTATTATGGCAGATTTATTACCTAATTTTTTGGCAGCATATTATCAAGTTGCTTCGTTCTTGTGCTTCATAATATTGATATCAACAATATATCAAATAAAACAAATAAGTGCATTTCTATCAAGGAGTAAATGGCCAGAAATACCAGACTTGCCACACCAAAGAGAGAAGTTTGGTAGACTGGAAGATGTCTCAAATGAACAAACTCGTAACTCTGGAACTTTTATAGTACCTGATACCTCAGCTAAACACTTTACACCGACCGTTTGGATACATAAAGCTTCAAATTATGTTATTGATGTAAATTTAATTGGTGAAATATCTGTGTTTGAAATAGTATTATTCTTGTTATATATTAGTTTAAATTTATTGTTCTTGTATTTACCTTTGGATGGTACCGGAGCTGTCATAGATATATATGATAGAAGTGCCTATATAGCGTTGGCTAATGCTGCATTCATATTTCCATTAGCAACTCGTAATTCAATATTCTTGACATTATTTGGTTTTCCATTCGAACGCCTTATAAGGTTTCATCGTTGGGTTGGCAGAACGATCTTTATATTGATCACTTTTCATGCCTCATACCAATTTCAAACAAGCTACACTGTAACAAATTCTTTCAATGCTACACTTATGGATGACAAAACATATTTATGGGGGTTCTTAGCTTACCTATCACTTTTCATAATAACGATAACTTCTCACTCTGTATTTCGTAGATACTTTTTTGAATTCTTCTATTGGTCACATTTCAATTTTATATTTTTCATAACCTTTGGAATCTTACATCAAAGTAATGTCCTCACGTTCATCATTGTCGGTATTACTCTTTATGGGGCTGATCGTTTGATAAGGTTCATAATAGGATTTAAAGCAAAGAACATAGTATCAATTGAGGCAATACAATCAGGTGTAACAAAAGTGGTATTCGAATATAATAGTTATTATTCAGCCGGCCAATACATGTTTATCAATATTCCAAATTTAAATTCTCCTTTGTCCTGGTTCACCTGGCATCCTATTTCTTTTTCATCATCAGAAAGTGTCCAAGACGTGGGTGATACCCATAAAGCAAGTTTTCATATGAAGTGTCTAGGCGGATTCACAAAACAACTATATGCTGGAGCACAAGAAGGCAACGAGTACGGTAAATCAAAATTGAAGTTAAGAGTAGATGGTCCCTATGGAAAAGTGTCAATTGATTTTATACGGTATAGAACCGTCATATTGATTGGTTCTGGAATAGGTGTTACTCCAATGATGAGCATACTAAAAGATTTGGTTGATAGACAAGTTTCGAGTATGCCAATCACAACTCAAGCTATCTATTTCTATTGGATTATACCTGATATAGGTAAATTATCATTACGTTACATTATGTAAAAATTTAGATTTTTAATAACCAATCCTTTAATAATATTAATTGTTATCATTATTTATTTAGATTGTTATTCTTGGTTCGGTAGCGAATTACGAAATTTAATTTCAAGAGCCAAAGCATTGCCCTCAAATAAATATCTTCTTGACCTAAAAATATTTTTAACAAGATCAACTACAACACCTTCCTCGATCTTCTTTCAAGGTAGACCCAACTTTGATGTTATATTCAGCGACGTCAAAACATATCATGGTTCTGGTGATATTGCCGTTGGAGTTTGTGGTCCTGGACCTATGAGAACACAAGTTAGAAATGCTGCCGTTGCTCAAAGTGACGAGACTTGTTTATTCAAAGTTCATTATGAAACTTTTGAATTATAAAAAAAAAATTTTTTTTTCCCTTAATAACATCATACACACGCATATATCTATAATTTATCCACATTATTATTATCCCCTTAAATTTATTATGTATTTTTATAATTGAATAGAACAACGCGGTTGTATAAAGTAATAACCCATTATAGATCAAAAAAAATTAAAAAAATTTACTAATTCAAAGTGTTGTTTAAAAATAATTTGGTAAACAAATAAAAAAAATAATTTACGTGATATTTTGTTTATATTCCTTCCTGTGAATAGCAATTAATTCACCATATAACTAATGACTGTTGTTTATGTAACAATTATAATGATATCAAGTAGTAGAAAACTCAACAGTCAACCGCACATCGCTACATTTAACTTTTAATGTAAAACTACACGCAAAATAGCATCTTGAGCATGATAATTGAATATTGATGATGTATTGCCCACAGGATGAGCAAACCATTTAGGTTCTTTGGCCATCATCGATCAGGAACAAATGTGCAAGTCTTGCGCAATTCCATTCGACGATAACGTTTTTTCACATTTTCAAAAAAGTCATAGTTCAATATTAATAATAATGAATCAATTTCCCGAATTGTTGCGTTTTTTCTTTTACATTTTCAAAAAAGACATGGTCGTTTTTAATATTAACAATCCCAATTTTTCTTCAAACTTTCAAAAAAGGCATGGTCGTTTTTAAATTAGAATAATAAATCATTACGTTTTTCTTTACATTTTCAAAAAAAGCTTGGTTGATTTTCCTAATAATATATATTAATAATAATGAAATTAATTCCCAAATTGTTGATTTTCCGATTCCTTATTAGTATGTTTGATAGCAGGAAAGAATCTTTTCAAAAAAAGCTTAATTAATTTTTTCTCTAACAATAATGGATTAGTTGCAAATTTTTTAGTGGCGGGAAGATATTTCTCCGCGTTTTAGAAAAGACTTGAAGTGATTGATCAATTATTATGATGATAAAAAGGTTTACGCAAATCAATTTTGAGAAACAAAATTTCCAAAAAGAGATAATATTTATTGCATTGATTAATAATTATAAAATCACATGACTTTTATATAATGACGATCTCGTTATTTTTTGCTTGTACGGAGAGTGTCATTACAACGAAAGTAACTTGTAATAGTAGTAATGATAATAATGAATAATTTAATTATATAATTAATTGGTATATAATGAATATTATAAACAACAAACACGAAAATAATGATGGTGATCGTAAAAGAACAGAGAACACGAAAAATAGCGACCAAAGTCTATATATTCTCTCACATTCTTTGTATTCTTTTCTTTCTTTTCTCTTTCTTTTCTCTCTTTACATATATAATATATACACAGTATATGTGTGTGTGTATTGTTGTTGTTGTTATTGTTATTTATTCCTAAACAGCAACTTTCTTTTTTTTTACAAATTTCAAAATTGTCGAAAGTTATGTTTCATGAATAGTGAATATTATATTTGTAATCATTTTTTATGGTTAAAATCGGGCCATTATGGTATTATTAACGGTCAAGGCTTTCTCATATTAGTACAATTCTGTAATATTTTACGTACGACATTATAATTAATAAATCAATCCGGGTTTGCATGTATGGAATAACAATAATAGCAAATAAAAAATAAAAAATATCTCTCTATGTATAACGAAAGGCTTCTTTCTTTCTGAGAATGAATTGGTATTTGTGTAGTATTTGTAATATTTGTTTGTTTGTTTGTTTTTTTTATTTTTATTTTGAATAACTAACCATTCTATATACTACACAACTATTATGTATACTGAAGCAAAATTTCACAAGTTTTACCACACATTCGAGGCTCTCTTTACTAAAACACAATAAAAAAATTTTTTTTCTCGTCAATTTTATTAAAAAAATTGTCCATAAACAATAATTTGAAACGTCAAATTTATAAATTAAAAAAATTCGTACAAACAAAGATTTCGTGTGCGAACTTAAAAAACTTTTGCTGCGTGAATTTCAAATTAAAATTCACGCACAAAACACAAACAAACGCCATGATCCACCAACCCTGAATTGCATCAACCATTTGATGGCCCGTAGTCATGGCATGGCCTGATTAATCATTTGATAAATGCTCGTCCATAACCTCAGCCTGCGTTTGATGAACACGAGGGTTACTATTTGTAAAAAGCATCACAAATTCACAATCATTTTCCCATTAAAAAAAAAAAAAAATCAAACTGCAAGTATCTTTATATCAGTAAAGACGCCCACTACAAGCAAAATTTTCTTGTGGATTATTGAACAGAGTCCCTCTCGACTTTTTTTACTTCATTTTACAGTCATATTATTAAAACCAAAAGTCCAGGGAATGGATAAAAAATTACAAGGTTATTATAAAAAAATGTTGGTTCCTTGACCTTATTAGCTAGCTGCCATTGTTACACTTTTCTTTAAAGGTATGTGATAGCAAGCAATATTTTATAGTTCGGTCCCTCTTATGCTACTAACTGCTTCTCTTTAATGCATTTACGCATGGTCTATTGGAATAATAACACTATGTGACTTCATAGCTGGTAGTTTTCTCCTATTAATGGAATTTGTAGAAGCTAAAAAAAACACATACACAAGAATTTGTCTGCATTGTGGTTAGTCATCTTCCTAGCTGCCTTGGGATTAGTATTGCAATAAAATTTTGTAGTATGTAAACAAAGCCATATGTACTAAGCTTTTTATATATTTTATTCATTAAAGTTTATTGTTAAATATTAAATAAGGTCATGCAATTATGTTAATTTCTATCGGCTACGATGATAAAATTATTATTTTCTCCCACTTCTGCTTGAGAGTAAATTCTTGCGTTGATCCAAAACCCCTCCAAAAATCTTATTAAGTTTACAATTTAATCAATTTCAGGAATTAAATTTTTTAATTAACAAACAGATAAATTTGAATTATTATACATATAAATATTATACATCTACTTTTAATACTGTCTTTAGCATTTATATAAAATGTTTATAAAGAAATGACTCCATTAAATTGTTCATATGGGAAAAAGATTTTTTTTTAATAATTATCATGTTTAGGTGCACAGAAAAATCCTGCCATTAATACTAAATATGATAAAATTAAAATTGAACCTTTGAAATAATTAGCTTTTCCTTCGATATAAGTATAAGTTAATAAGAAAACTGAAAACACTACAGCAAATACATCCCATCTTGGAAATACCAATCTTTTGTTTCAATTACCAAAAGAAAAAGAAAGTAATAATAATGATTGATTGTTAATTAATTGATTAAAAAAATATAATAATAATAATAATAATAATAATAACAATAATAAACTTACGTGAATGTGTGTCCTTTTTGTTCCTCATCCCCTATTCCATGATTATACCAACCAGAAAATGCTACCATTGCAGGAATTTGTAATAAGCATACTTGTAATGCATACGCTGAACCAATTTCCATACTAAATAATAATTAATTCAATAATTTAAAATTTAAAGAAAAATAATATAAAAAAAGAATATATTTTTATGTTACAAAAACCACCATTCATTACCTGAGAGCAATGTTACCATATAATGCAAATGCCATTGCGTTAACAAATTCAGTAACATTAGGAACCAATGCAAACAATGTTAATCCAACTAATTTTTCATAACCATGACTAATTTTATCATCTGGATCCTTTTTCAACACTACTTCAACATTACTCACCAGTATCTCTAAATAATAATAATAAACAATTAAAGCAAAAATCAGTGAGAAAAAATATATATATCCATTCACACACGCATTCCTATTTACCTGCTACCGCAGAATAAAGTATTGTACAAATGACCAATACAATTCCACTCTTTAATTTACTCCAATTTGGAGAATCATGACCAACAGGCTCTTCTTCTTCTTCAGGATCATATGCAAATCTAAGTTGATCCAAATTAGCAGCAACTTGAGCAATATTTATATTTTCTGGTGATAAATGATGATGATGATGACCAGCATCAAATGCAGACATTGGTCTATGATGAAGTGTTGGTGGTTGATGTTGATGTTGCTGCTGCTGCTGTTGATGTTGTTGAGGATGAGTATTATAGGTAGGGAGTGATTGCATTAATGTATTAGTGATTTTTTTGTAAAGTGACATTCTATTATTTTGAGTATTTTGATCCGCAAATGTGTGATGGTGTCCTGTTTGCCATACTAAAGCTGCGTGCGTTCTTAAAGTAAACCAAAGACCAATGAGGTATGACTATTTGAAGAGCAAAAAATAAGTATAAATATCTTGATTATAATACAAGTATTTCTTTAAATATTTAATTTTGCAAATATTTATTTCTTTACTTACCAAAACTAAAACACACGCGCAAAAATACATTAAAGGTTTTACTTTATTTTTATATAATGGAGTAGTGATCGGATCTACTTGGAGATGAACACATCGTTGACAATCGCCGAATTGATCATTCTCAGTACATGGGCGACAATCCATATAATACTATATTATTATTATCATTAATATCGTTGTTAGTAAATCAATAATAAATATATGATAGATGATAAGTAAAATTGTATATACCGGTGCATAGGTTTGATAGAAAAGAGTTGGTGTAAGCGCACCAATAATAGCCATTATAAGCATAGTAGATGTTACACCTTGAATATACGCAATAAATGTAAAAAAGAATTGTGTGAATACAACTAATAATAAACAAACACATATACGTACATACATAATAAGAATATAGTTTTTATTTTCACCTGCACTTTTTGCATTAAATTTTTGTTCTTTACGTTTAAAAGCGCCACTAACCATACTAACACCAGGCATTAAAAGTACACCAGCCATCAAACTTCCAATGATACTACCTTCAGTAAGTTTGCCTTTACCTCTGATTAAAGCCATCGCATACAAAATTATTTCAATTATACTACCAAATGTAGCATTAATCACAGCACCCATACCAGCTGAAGATTGTGCAGAGATTGAAGCAACAGCCATTCCAATAAAATATGAAAGTGGTATCACAGATGCAAGTGAAATGGAGAAAATAAATTTGGGATCTGTGAAGAAATAATCTAAATTTAATATTTCGTGAAGTATATAGTCATCTATGATTGCAAAAAACACCAAGGGTATAAGATTAATAAAAATAATATTAATTCCTTCGAATGTGTATTTGTAATATTGAAATCCAATTGCATCATGTGTACATAACAAAATTAATGAATGATATGATGATGTTGTTGAACCAGATTTAAAGTTTAAAGAGAGAGGATGTCTCCTCAGATGTCTTGTTAGAATATAGGTAAGCTTGGCCATTGGTATGGGAATTACAGCCAACCAACACAATGCGGAAACAAGCAAGAACAGAGGTGCTAAAAAAAAAAAACAAATTTTTAATTAATTAGTTAAGTAATCAAAAAAAAAACTATTATTATTAATTATATATATATATATTTATACCCACCAATAACTAAATAAAACAAAAAACAGAAAACCAATCCAGCAGGGCCCATTTCACCCACTTTATTAAATAAGTTTTTTTTTTCTCGATTTTTTCTACGAACTTCTATAAAACTAGGAGTATGTGGCAATAATGGTCTTCTTTCACCCGCAGCTGCCTCATTATCACGATAACGACGACGACCACCACCAACATCAAGATTAATATCACTTTCACTGCTATTGATCCCATCATTATTTTCAAAAGTCGCATAATCATGTCCATCATCCTCTTCAAGAAACTCATCCTCAATTATCTCTACATACTTGTCAAAAGGCCACAAAATATAACAACTTAGTTCACGTAATACACGAGCATATTGTGATCCTCCAAATGGCATCATCGATAGAATAAATGACAAAACAAGTGAAATAAGTGCTAGCCACCATCCACATAATATTGCCCATAAAATATTTCCTGGTCGAAGATACAAGTCTGATGAAGGAGCTGAATGCAATGCTTCATTGGCATTACGAATCACTGAACGAGATTTTTTATATAATGCTGGTTTCCACAATGGTAATCCAAATGGATGTGTATAATTTATTTTCTAATTTACATAAATGTAAATATTTTTTATTTTTTAAAAAAAAAAATTTGAAATATTCATATTTCAATCTCATTAACTTACATCTTGTCTTTCTTTAAGTGTATACTCTCGATCACTTTCATCACCAGATCCCTCTTCATTTCGATCTCCATTATCACCATTATTTTCAGTTTCTTCAACAACATTTACACTTGGTGTAGTGCTTGATTTATAAGTTACTCGTTGTTTCTTGGGACCTTTTTTTTTATTACGTCTAGTTGAGTTGCCAGAATCAATGACATCATCATCATTATCATCATCATCGTTGTCATCGTCATAATCATCATCATTATCATCATTATCATCATCAGAGTTTTCGGCTGTGGAACTATTAGTGGGGCCGTACGAAGAAGAACGTTGAGATCTTGGTTTTCCTCCTTTCCCTCCTCCTCCTATCGGTGATGATGGAGTTTGTGAATTATCATTATCTTGTATATCTAATAAATGTGAATCATGACTTCCAGAATCTCTTGCAACTAATTATAAAAAATAATAATGATTTTTTCAACGATTTCTTTTTAAAAAAAAAAAAGTATAAAAAAAATTAATTACCTGGAATAAATGGAAACCCATCATTGTTATGATTATCCGAAGACATTATAATGATTTATAATGGAAATAAATACTAATATAAATTCTACTTTTTTCGTTCAAAAAAAACAAAGGTATTAATATAAGAAATTATTATTATTATTATTATATAAATTTTTTTTTCAGGGTAAAATAAATCGTCATATTGCATAATAATAGCTAGGGGGTTTTTTTAGTTATCGTATATAGATTAGAAAGATAAAATAAAAAGGGGAAGAGATAGTAATAATCGACTATTTTTTGAAAAGTCACGATTCAATTATTAATTTATCAAATTATTCAAAATATTATTCTTCTTTTTAAGCAATACTATGTAAGTATATCTTGATTTTTCGTATTTTTTAAGTATAGTAACGACAGTATTGAGTCTTTTGTTTTTTTTAAAGATTTAAAAATTAAAAATTGTTTATTATTTGTTTGGTATGACAACTTCCTGTCAATCAACAACACTTCTAAAAGGGGGAACGATTAAGATCCGTGTGATGTATGATGTAGTAATATATTAACCAAATTTATAACAATAATTAATGTGCATGACTACAATGCGAATCATCAAAGACATCAAGTGCTGCGCTACTCTCCGAAAAAAAAAATTTCAAATACATACAAATTTGTAAACGATCTGCGATTTGGCCATCGGTAAATTGCAGTTTAGACGGTTGCCGAAATTTCAAATAGCAGGTAGTAATAGTAAAAGTTATCCAACTTTAAACCTTTGTTTTTTTTTTATTAAACAACTCAAAAAAAAAACTTTCTGTTATTTTTCATGTATAGAAGATTGCAAAATAGAGGGTTAGCACATATTTAGTAAAGTAACAGAATTTAAAGATTTGGGATGTCTTTAGTTATTATATGATTGCCACTATACCAGTGCGAAATATGTGATCAAAAATATCGGGGAATTCCCGGTTTGGAATAATTTTTCAAAAAATATCGACCAAAAAATTTTCTTAAATAATAATGATAAGTAGGGTTTCGATTCGAATAAAATAATCCAATTAATCTTGTTGTATATAGTGATAATACTATAGATCGAAACCTCGGACGAAGTTTGCTATAGAAAATCATAGAATATCATCTAAATGGTATTATATTTTATAACCCTATTAAAATCAACAACACAAATGATCACTAGTTTAGATGTTGGATTGGATTACAAAATCGTGCAGTGTATGCACTGAAATTGGAGACGCGTTAGCTAGTACCCCGAAAACCCGAACAGAAAAATCGAAACTGAACCATTAAGAGCTTAATATCAGCTTTAGCTGAAGGTGCAGAAATGCTTGACGAGTTTCTTGAAATGTTTGCTAACAATTATATTTTTGTAATGAAAGAAATGCGCTTTTCATTCCAGATTTCATTTCATTCTGATGATTATACGTTAAGAATAACTCCATATAATTAAAACTATTAGAAATGACTCTTTGATTCAAATGTCATAATTGGTTGGAATAAGGCAAAAAAGCGCATTGGAACATTATTATAACATTCTAGATAAATTTTGGGCTATTTATTGGTGAAAGTCTAGATGCATATTTTCCGGGATTAAAAACGACATATTCGTATTATTATTATATAGTAATTCCTCGATTCACAGTGTCACCAATCAGGATAAATAGGTAATAAATTCAAAAAATAAAAAATAAAAAGCAAATTTTCAATTTCTTCAATTCCAAAAAATGGATCACCAATTTGATTTATATAGTGTCGAGGTACTAAGGAAAACAGTT